TCTCCACACTATCTGCCTGCAATCTCCCTTACCTACTCAGGACTGGTTTCCAAGGCTCCTCCCCTCTGGCTATCTCCGCTGCCCCAGTTTTCAGGGCAGGTACTTCCTCAGGGTCTATCTGTGCACCTTGTACGAATGCACAATCTGCCTTTTCCTGAGCACGTCTTTGCTAAGTAGAGCTCTCTCCTTCTTCTTGAGCTGAAGGCCTTGGAGTGTGGCATGCATACACAGAACACACTCATTAGAGAAAGAATGTTCTGGTCACCCGAAGATGGATGACAGCATTGGGGAGCTGATGTGAGATGATAGGTCCATTTGAAAAGCCTAGGTCCTTGTCCAGACCCCTGCCCTGGCCATTCCCAGCCATGACAGGCTGCAGGAAACACCCAGCCGGATGTAGGCCCCTGCCTCAGCAGGATATAGCAGGGTGTGTGGTGCCCCCGCACTTGCCCTAGTTACTGGGGTCAACTACGAGATATCCTCCATATGGTGAGGAATCAATCAGAAGTTAGGTACCTGCCTTACTGATAAAGGGAAAGATGCAGTAACCTCAGTAACGGTCCCCAGTTGACCTCCAAATGTAGCAACCTTTCCACAGCTGCAGCTAACCAATCAACTCAGGACAGGTACCTCTAACCCAGAGATGCACAATTCCTAACACGGTTACTATGCAGCTTGCAGGCCCCCAGACCCCCCCTTGTCCAACACCAATACAGGCTTTGCTGTCCTGCAGCCCAGGGATCTCTCCTACTCCACCGGCTGCGTAGGATCGAGAAACCCGGTACAATGAAAAGTCTCTTTGCTTTTGCATCGGATCTGGTCTCTTGGTGGTCTTTGGGGGTCTGGACTCAGGGCACAACACATTTGTGGATTTTTTGTGGGTGAAGTAGCAGGGAAGCCCACATACATGAGTGTGTGCCTAGACACAGATAGATGCATTAAATAACAATCGAGCAGTCAGAGCTGCACTTGGCTGACAGATAGTGCCTGTGGGGTTTCCTGGTCTTGAAGTTGGGGCTTCAGTTATTTCAGATGTCAGTGTTGGGGGTAGGTGAGGACAGGCACATGTGTTCTCTGTTCTGTGTTGAATCTATATTTATAAAAACAAAATATAGAGACACCTGGCTGTTCAGGCCTGCAACCCCAGCCTCTGTGGAGGCTGAGGCAGTTGGTCCAAGGCCTTCCTGGGCTTCACAGTGAGTCCCTGGCAACTTACCAACACTGTATACAAAAATAAAAAGTGAAACTTTGCAGACATCCTGCAGGGTCCTTCCTGCAGGTAGAGCGGGGGGAAGGGCCGGTCCAGCTGGCCTGGCTGAGCAGGATGGTGAGTGTCGATGACACAGACCCTCCCCCCATTAGTTACTGGGGAGAAAAAAACCACACACGCTGAGTTGGGAGTCTGTCGAAGCAGGATCTCGATTTATTCCAGCACACAGGAACTTATATAGGACTGAGGTAGCTGATGGGAATCTTAGGATAGGGTAAGGTGATGTGAGGAGTAAGGGCCAATAGTATTTCACCAAGCAGGCAGGTAGCTAGGCAGGGGGCAATCTTGCATCAGATCTGGCTGAGTCACCCCCACGTGGAGGTTACAGGTTAGAGACAGGTTGCTAAACTCTAGCCAGGCTCAGGAGGTTACACTGGGCCTCGCATCCGAGCCTTTTTTTAGGCCCAACACATCCCAGTGGTAGAGGGCACATAATCATAGGTTCCATTCCCAAAACTGAATAACAGAACACATGTCTCTTCCAAAATAAAGCAAAACAAACTAACAAACAAAAACTAAAAACCCTCCATAAGCACAGAGACTTGTGAACCCCAGGACGCCTGGGGAGAGCAAATTAAGGAAAGGGGACAGAGATTTGAAGCTGTTGGGTAAAGCCTTCCCACCAGTCAGGTTCCAGAGCCCCATCAGTCCCAAATGAACACACAGGAGGCTATATTAATTATGAAGCTGTTGGCCTTGCTTGTTTCTTACTGGCTATCTCTGACTTAAGTATTTAACCCATCTAAGTATTTCTCTTACCGGAGAAAGGGTCTGGACCTCTTACTTCTATGGCAGATATGATGTCTCCTCGAGTTTCTCTTTCCCAGAATCCTCCTTGACTCCAAGTCCCACCTATCTTGCTTCCCTATTGACCAACAGTGTTTATCGACATATACACAGGACTTCCCCATCATGAAGCAACATTTGGTTCAAGGTCTTCAGCTTATGAAATTGGATATGAAACATTGAATATGAATTTAACCATCTGGCTCCTAAGAATATACTGAGCTGTTGGTGGTGCACGTCTTTAATCCCAGCACTCGGGAGGCAGAGGCAGTCAATCTCTGTGAGCTTGAGGTCAGCCTGATCTACAGAGCAAGTACCAGGGCAGGCTCCAAAGCCACACAGAGGAAGCCTGTCTCCAATATATATATTCAGAATCACTGTAGTTACCCTGCTTACACAGGCACACAAATGATAGCAACTTTTACAGGAATGTAACCACTTTCTGACTGGATAGCACACCTGTAAGCATGCTGAACTTTCCCAAAACTCACCAGAGTTTCTGCAAGAACTAGGAAAGCACCGGTGTTGTAATTTTAAAAAGCCGTGTGAGAGAGAAAGATGCCATGAGACAGAGCTTACATGGAAGGATTTTTTTTTATTACGGAAAGGGAATGGGAAAGTGGTGGGGGAGGGGAGACTGACCTCTGGAGACAGGAGCAACAGAACAGGGAAGGGAGGAGAGGGAGGGAGGGGGAGAGAGAGAAATAGAGAGAGAGGGAGGAAAGACAGAAAGGGAGAGGGAGAGAGGAGAGACAGACAAAGAAGCAGAGAGAAAGATGGGCGGTGGGCAGGGCCCTTTTAAAAGGGGACATAGTGAATGTGCACAGGTGGTGCTCTCAGTGATTGCAGCTGAGGGCATAATCTATCCGAACCCCAAGGACAGGCCAGTGCAGACGTCTGAACATTAACAGCCTGTCCCACAAAGTGACACAGTACTAGAAGGGCAAGGATTAGTGTCCTCAGGACAAGACACCTACCATGGCCAACTAAGCATATTTTCTTTTAAAAACATGTTTTAAAAGCCTACAAAGAAGATTGTGCCCAGAGCCAGACTGCAGATCTGTTAAGAGATGCAAGTGTTTGGAACTGGGAGGTGACAGGAAGAGAGGACCAAGTAATCCTGGTTTAAGTGCATTTTGTCATGAAAACAGTAAGGTTATAAAGTTACAGTTTAAAGGAAAAAAGTTAGCAGCATATGTCTGGAGAGAAAACAAAAAATAAGGGAAGAACTGTTTCCCAGCAACTGTTTCCATGTTCTTTCATTTGCCAGTGACTCAACAACAGCATTTCAAAACATTAAGAAGTGCTGTGCTGGCAACTAGACTTGCCGCGGACCGCTCTGGCGGAGAGTGTTAGACCGCGGGAGCTCAGGGTCGAAGGTATCAGGAGAGGTCAGGATACGGCGCAGGAAATGACAGACAGACACCAAGAGTTTTAGTGAACTGCTGTAATTTTACTGAAGTTTAAACTTCTCTTATATAGTGATAGAAACAAGGAACTTAACAAGGATAGAAAAAATACAATTCATGTTACAGCTGAATCATGATTTTTTAGAATTTGAACATCTCAGCGAAAAATATCCAGCCCCAAATCAGACATAGAATAAGCTTATCTATTAATATAATTATTTGTGGCTTTGTGGTTGGTCATGAACTGGCTGCTCGGTGAATCATGTCTAGCATATCTTTAGAGACAAGTGTCAACTTCCTCTTTTTACATGGACAGTTTTAGCTTCCCTCTGATGTACTTAGTAATGTGCTCTTTAAAGGAATCACATCTGCAATACAAGGCTTCCCACAAATGCTTGCACAAGCAAGCATGCCAGTATCTTAAGGCTGGCATCATATTTTCTAAAATGGCTCATCTCTCTTTAATCAGATACTGAGTATATCCTCCGGGAAGTGTTCTATAAGGAATTCCCTTCGTTTCATAGCATTAAGAAAATCTCCCAGAGTTTGATTACTAGCCTTATTGTATCCAGCTTCTATATAAACAGTCTGGATAAATGGAGGTGCCTCTAGTAGTGGGTTATCCACCTCAGGGCTGGTGACATTGCCAGCCTCCTTTTTAAAATCTGGGTCAGCCTATACTTAAAAAACAAATAACAAAGTGATTAAATAGATTACACAAAAAAACAAAAAAAATAAAACATATTACTCGACAACACAGGGATATTCTGGTGACTCTCATGGGTCGGGCTTCTCTCTAAGAGACTGCCTGGGGCTCCACTTCGAGAAGCTCTGACCCCATCCCTTCAGGCGGTTCCCCCCAATAGAGCAACATTCTACTACAGTTACACAGGGGTCACCGCTGTGGGTGTAGCATAGACTCATGTTGGTGAATGTTAAAAAGCACAGAAACCAAGGAAGACATTCATGCCTCGAAGTGCTCTCTCTGGTTTTAAGAAACAAACACTCCGGGCTTCAAATCTTAACGGATCTTCTCCTTCATTTACAACTGATTAGTCTGTCATTTCTAAGAACTGAAGACTTGACTAATGGACCACTACGCGGATGACAGAGGGGAAAAAAAACAGTATATCAGGTTTTCTGAAGATTTTCAATAAGTTTAAGTGTTCAGTACCTAGCACTGGAGAAACAAAAACAACAAACATGGCGCGATGTTTCTGAGTTCAGCTCTTGTTGCTGTCCATCAATCAGTTATGAAAAGTAATTTCTGTGAGAAGAGCATATCACTATACACTCGCCACTTTTTTCTCCCCTAAGGTTTTCACTGGTTCAGGTTATGTAACTAAGCCAACAGACAGAAGTAAAGGAAATTAAAACAATGAGTATGCACACATTTTATCTGTTACAAACAGCCACTAACTAAGCTACAATGCACATAGAAACAGGGGGGTGAAAATTAAAAACAAATTGGAGGTTTCCAGAGAAAAGGAAATGCCAAGTCTTGAAATCTGTTCTTAACAGCCTCATATATGTCAGGGGAGAGTGTGAACACAGTCTGCCACTAACAGAAATTATGCTGTCGTTTTTCAAACTTGTGGAAATTGTGGGGGGTTAGCACAACCTGAGTACAATGGGTGAGTATCTATCGCCCTGGAAAAGCCACCTCCCCGATTATGGTGTCTCCCTTGAAAAATAAGTACTCGGACCACACCCGAAGCCCCGACAGAGGACAGCCACATGAGACCACTATGCAAATTTTGAAAAATCATTTGAAGGTTTCTGGAAGTGTCTCAGTGCCCAACGGTTAATAAAAGCCTGTGAGAAGTTGCATGTGCTGCGGATGGCGGAACTGGATAAGCGGAGCTGCCCAGCCGGACCCTGTGGAGCCCAGAAGATCGAGAGTCACAGATATTGCACACTAAGTAAGTTACATTTGGATTTTTGGTCTTGCTTTGATTTGATTATGCCCTAGTTCTTCCCTCGTGGAGCAAGAAAGTTTGTAACTTATGTATTTGTTGTTGTTTTAAAATTTTTTGCTTTGTGTATAAGTCACATTTAAATTGGCAGAATTGCTTTTGTTATAGACAAACTTAGTATCATCGTGCAAAGAAATAAGGTGTGTCTAGAGCTGAGGAGACCACAGAAACACAAGGATGGCCAAGGACAGTGACAAGGTTTGCAAGCTGATCAAGGCAGCAGTTGACCTGAGACCATAACTGTTCCCTAAGTGTATTTCCTAAAATTTAACAGAGCAGTGAGTCTACTGTACATGGGATCCTTGCACTTGTACAGAGGAAACTCTCTAAGTTGCTGGGAAGCTTTTACAAATCTCATTCTCCTGTGATAAGTGGTGACTGAGTTATGACACAACAAAGATAGTCCCATAGGCATCCTGGGAAATCTTTAACAACCAGGGAAATTCTTTTCTTTTTTAAGATTTATTTATTTATTTATCTATCATGTATACAGTGTTCTGTCTGCATGTTTGTCTGCAGGCCAGATGAGGGCATCAAATCTCATTGTGGATGGTTGTGAGCCACCGTGTGGTTGCTGGGAATTGAACTCAGGACCTCTGGAAGAGCAGCCAGTGCTTTTAATCTCTGAGGCATCTCTCCAGCCCAGGGAAGTTCTTAAGGTAAAATAAATAGCCACACATATCAAACCTATACACTGTGTTAAAACGGAGCTGGGGCTGGGTCCAAATGGGCAGAAGAGGGAAGTTTCTTGAGCAGCAGCTCTGTTTTCTTTACATGTATTATTAAAAGAGGTAAATTCCTCACCTGGATCTGGCCACACCCATGTATGCTATAGGATTATCTTTAAGTAAAGCAGGAGATAGAACATTTGCCTTCGGGATTGTAAGTATGTAGTTTCTTTTTTTTCTTTTTGGTTTTTACGAGACAGGGTTTCTCTGAAGTATGTAGTTTCTTATTGGAACTGCCTGTCCACAAATAACAACATGGAGGCTTCTTACCAATTATGAAAGCTTGGCCATTAGCTTAGACTTCTCCCACTCACTCTTATAACTTAATATCAACCTGTCTCTTTAAATCTACATTCTGCTATGTGGCTAGGTTATGTCTGTTCTGTACCATATGTCTGACTCCTTCAGAGTCTACAGGAAAACCCAGGTGTCTAGATTCCTCGCCCTCTTCCTCTGTCTCTGAAACCCCGCCTATCCTCTCCTGCCTAGCTGTTGTCCATTTAGCTCTTTGTTACAGCAATCACAGCAATACATCCATCTTCACACAGGGTGCAAATACCCACAACAATAGCATGGAATTGTAAAGCCTGTCGCAGTGGGATTGGGTAACCTTAGAGATGGGTAAAAGGCATGAGGCTGTCAAACCTGTCACATTGATGATAAACAAATGACACCAATGTGTGCCAATCTTAAGACTGTAAACATGCTGCCTGTTCCAATTTGGCTGACCCTTGGCTAAACTCTTTTGTAAACAGTTGGTTCTGCTTTTGTGAACTTTTTTCGTGTCCTGATTGGTTGGCCTATGGTTGAACCTGCCATCTCTGCATTCCCTACAAATTTGTCTGTGTATCCCGGTATGCTTCTACTTATATCCTGCTGCTCTTCTGCTCTTCCAGTGGGAAGTGAGTAGGCCTGGGCCATGATAAAACTTTCATCTGGCAACACTGCGGCCCCTAAGAATTCTCCAGTCTGAAAGTGTGGATATGGGGGCTGCAGAGATGGTTAAGTGGTTAAGAGCACTTGCTATCCTTCCAAAGGATCAGGGTTCAATTCCTACCATCCACATGGCAGACTCTGTTAAAGGGGATTCAACATTTGCACATGGAAAAAAACAAATAATTTTTAAAAGCTGGGGACACAACATTATATTGCAAAAATATATTTAACTTCATGGGTATGGTGGCACATGCTTTTAATTCCAGCATTCGGGAGAGAGAGGCAGGTGGGTCTCTGAGTTGAGGCCAGCCTGATCACAGAATAAGTTCCAGGATAGCTGTGACCACACAGAGAAACCCGGTTTCAAACAGACAGACAGACAAACAAACAAACGTCCAAACATTTAACACACATCAAGATCACCTGTGCAATATTTACCAAATGGGAGAAAAGAATTGCATGTAAATGAAAACTATAAAATGCTCTTAAGCTGTCTGTTATTTCCAGTGACTTTGCTGTTTGTGAGCATCAGAATCCTCCAAGATCAGGTGTTCCGATCCAGCCCTACTTTCAGCTCGCTGATTCCAACTTATGCTTCCCCCACTCTGCATCTCTGCTTGCACTGCTTTACTGATGTGACAGAATACCCAACAGAGCATCCTAACACAAGAGAGGCTTATTTTTGTTCCTGTTTCAAAGGTGCCGAGCACTTCGGTGAAGAAGGCAGGGCAGCTACGGTGGCTCAGCCTTGCACTGGGCTTATCCGCATCCAGGGGGAGGCAGAAAGACAACCTCTTTAGATAGCCCCCTTAACAGGGAAGCAAGAGCTCAATCATGGGAGCCCAGAGGGTATATTTTGCATTCAGTCAGAACATTCTGCCCCTCCTCCATAAGAACCATTTCATAGTGCAAAGTGCAATCGATTCAACTTCAAGAGTTTCCTAGTCTCAACAATTCCGACCCCTTTCAGATGCTCAGTCACTTTGTAAGACTCAAGGCAATTCTTAACTATGAAATAACACAGTCAAGTTACATACTTTCAAAATACGACAAACTATAAACATCCCCAACCCGAAAGGGAGAAATGAGTATAAGCAGTAGGGCAGAGAAACCACTCAACTAGACTACTCTTTGGATAGAAAAAAAGATTTATTGGGGTTCAACCTGCCAAGACCGACTGGTGAGGGGGCAGAGAGATGGGCAAAATGGCAGAAAAGCAAGCCGACTGTATATGACAGCAGGGCAGGAATCTGAGCAGATACGGGCTGCCTGTCCTTGCCTGAGATAGGCCTACATCCCTGGCATCTCTAACATCTTGGGGGCTCCATTGCAACCTAGGATTCACCCATAAGCATCACATTGGCTGTGTGTGTGCCTTGCTTGGCCCACTAGGGTTATGGCGAAAGGCCTCTTTCTGCCTGTGCACTGCTACACTCTGTTTTCACCCGGGAAAGGCACTGAGAATTCTGTATGCTGTGCGATGCTTTACTCTTTCGGCTCTTTAGTCTCTTTGGAGGGCCCACCACTCAGCTCCAAAATAAATCACACACAGAGGCTTATTCTTAGTTATGAATGAATGTCTTGGCTTATTTCTTGCCAGCTTTCCTTAAAATCTATCTTTGGCCTCAGGGCTTTTATCTTTCTCTATTCCTGTATACATTTTCTTACTCAGTGTCTGGCTGTGTAGCTGGGTGGCTGGATGGCTGGTCCCTGAAGTCCTCCTCCTTCTCTCTCATTACCTGATCCTTTTTCAGATTTCTCTTCATATTTATCCTCTGCCTGCCAGCCCTGCCTGTTTCTCTCTCCTGCTATTGGCTGTTCAGCTCTTTATTAGTCCATCAGGCGTTTTAGACAGGCACCGTAACACAGCTTCACAGGGTTAAACAAATGCAACACAAATAAAAGTAACACACCTTAAAATAACATTCCCTAACCCCTGTAGTCTCCTCCTACAAGAGCCCAGCCCCACAGCTATCTCCCCTCCGTGATCTGATTACTTTGAACTAACTCTACCTCCTAATTCCCTCACATCAATCATTAGGGTTTCAACACAATCATTTGGACTGAGGGCAGACACACGCAGTCCATTGCAATCAACCCAGAAAGAACAGGATGTCCTAAACGATGTGTGTTCCTCTCTTTAAAGATGATGAAACTCCCTAAAACCAAAGTTGCAAAATCAGCAACTTTCATGTCCTTCTTCAGCAAAGGTCTAGAGTTTTTGGCCACAGGGGACAACCAGCTCATATAGCAAACCATGCAGCTCACAATGAGTGGAAAGGGTAAGATCCCAGAATATTCTGAACTGTAAAAGAAGATGAAATATAACCAAACATGATGGCACAATTCTTTCATACAATATATTTTATTATGTTTTTCCCTCCCATAACTCCTTCCAAATTTTCCCTACCTACCCAAGTTCATGTTCTTTCTCTCTCATGCGCTTTAAAACAGAACACTGAAAATCAAAACAAACAAAAACACAACAAGGCAAAAGATGCCAAAACAAAGAAAAAGCCTACAAAACAAACAAACAAGAAATTCATTTTTTGCTGGGCAATGGTCTGCCCTGGAGTGTGGCTGATATACCCAGTGACATGCCATTGGAGAAGACTACTTGACTTTAGGACTTAACAAAAGCCACTTTAGACTGGGCAATGGATGAGTAGCAACAGGAGACACAAATTCATAAATGGATGAGTAATGAGATTTGAAACTAACCCATAGCTATTTGATCGATTGGTTTTCAGTAGTTCCATGAAGGAAAGAAAATAGTTTTAATAAATGATGTCAGAACAACTTAATTCAATGTCCATGCTGGAGAGCAAAATGTCATCAGCTGTATTCATGTTGAATACTACACGTAAACATTAATTTGAGGCCGTGGGTTTAAAGTGGTACAGGGCTTGATTGCACGTATGAGGTCCTGGCTGTGATCCCTAGCAACACCCAAGAGTCATAGACCAAAGCTCAAATTTGGTGATAAGGTACTTCAAGGAGAAAGGAGGTGACATGTACTAGGTGATGTCAGAGGGGTGAGGTCGGGGCTGTGAGCCAGGA